CACCGTGGCTCGCATCCGCCAGTCGACGCCATCTAATCCACCCGCGCCCACTTTGCCTCCTTTCTCGATTCATACCTACGCAGGAAGGAAAAGGACTTTGGTACCATGGAGCCAGGGCCCTTGACGGGGTTGTCGCTACGGGCGACTCTACGAGAGTCCCCCGACGGCCTGTCAGCGAGGCAACTGCTCTTTCTCGCACGACGTATTGCCAGCATTGCCACCGGCGGCTTCCGATTCTTTCATGACCGGTGCATGTCCATCAATGCAGAGCATCTCGCCGACGCGAGCTCCGAGTACTTGCAACCGCCACGCGGGTTTCCTTGGTCACAGCGATTCGAAGGCCGTCCGTACCGACCAGAATCAGGTGGTCCACCATCCTGGTATGAAATGCAGCACATGACGCGTGGTCTCTGGAACCTCCAAGTAATCTATGAGGTCCGAAATGCGGCGAAGGAGGGCCGTTTGGGATGGACAGCGCACGACGTGGAGCAGATATGGGCCATGGATGTCAATGCCTGGTTCGGCCACCCGACGGTCTACTCAGAAGAGGTGCTCACGGCGCTTTACTACGTCCATCACCTCGAGGGCAAGCCCCTTGCGGACAGCTGCATCGGGCACCCCTTTTCGGCGCCGAGCACCGGTCCGCTCGGCGAATATCCGCTGCAGCTGCCCAAGCCTTGGGCGTCAACGACCGGAGAGGTGAATGCCCTTGGCGAGACGACAAACGTGTGGCCAGCCGATGTGCCGCACCCTCCACGAGGCGACTTTCGCGCGCGCTTCGGCTTCGAGGCGTACGGCTACAAGTGGGCGCAGCTGCTTTCCCAGAATGTGCGCTCCCCGATCCGGACCGTGTCGTTTAGGCCGTTCCGCGCGCTGGGGTTCGGGCTCTGGGATCGGCAGCGGCTCGTCGCGTTTGGGCTGGTTGATGCTCCGCCGGGGGAGCTGGCAATGATGATGGCGCCCAAGACGACGGGGGACTTCTTTGCTTGGCGGAGTTGGCTTGATGAGGGGGCGAAGGCAGAGATTGAGGCGAGGCAGGAGGGCGAGTGGCGGAGCGGGCGGATGGGAGGGCTGCTTAGAATCACGGGATGTTCTTGATGACGATATACGAGTGCGGCGTCTTTGGGTGCATGTTTCTGTTTCCTGTATCTGGGGAATTCATCAGGTTTTGAGCCAGCGCGTGCTTGACTTGTGCGTGCGATAGGGTCGTCATGATGGACAGTGAGTGTGTCAAATGGATCTGACCTGACCAGTGTTCTGGAAGGGTCATCTTTCACCAGCAGGCTTGTCTGTAGGATAGCGACTTCAGCATGCGCAGAACCTCCAAGGTGTGAATCCCATTTCTTTTGCTTCGCCTCCTTGAAAATTCAGGGTGTATCGAAGCATCAGACTGCTCTACTTCGCATGCCGACATCACGAATACGCCATGGTGCCATTTGCGTTTGCAGATTGCTCAAGAAGCAGAAGCAAGACTTCTCGACGGCATCTTAGTCTGCGCGATCGCAGCACTGGCGGCGATATTATTGGGAGGAGAGGAGAGGTTTCACTGGGACTAAGCGTGGATATTGGGCGGGACGTTGGAAGGCAATCCATCATGATGTTGTGAGGTTCGATTTCGCCTTCCGTAATTGGTAGCCGAGTGGGCAACAAGCACTCGGCGATAGGGACGCCATGTTCGAGGAGGAAATTACAGCTGTAGAGGGAACACCAGTCTCTGTTCAAGCTGACGGCATGAGCAGGGGAAAAGGCTGGCACAAAGTAAGAAGCATTCATAAGTTCGCAGAGATTGACTGAAAGGCTGTTCAAGTATACAAGTACCTAGCAAGACACCTGGTGTAGATTTGTCAGAGCGTTAGTTAGAGCAGAGTGAAGAGGTCTTCTACACGTAGTCCGCAGTAGATAGGAGATAGGTAGGGGGTCGGAATATATCTAAATTCTAGCCCTACCTACCTAGTTCAAAGGGAAAAGCGGCAGCGGCAGTGACAGCGGCAATGCGACGCTGGTGGTTCGCCCGACGCCGAGTATGGGGCGGCACGGGCAAACAACGAGCCGGCGGGGGGGGATCAAGGCGTCACATGCTCTCGCCGGGTCTATAGATTGAAGGGCCGCGTGGAAGTCTGCGCCCCTGCGTTGGATGACAGCAGCACGGAATGGGGAGCATCCGATGTGCTGCCGCTACGAAGGGCCGCCATCAGTTGGGACAGGCAAGGGTTGGCATCATCATGGCAGACGTGGTCGAAAGCTTGAGACGCTGTGGTACCTTTTCTCCACCCCCCGTCTCGTCAGAGCTGAGACGAACAAGGCCTGTGCCGTTTCGAATCGCTCCAGTGTGGGACGGGCATGGGGATGGGGGCTGTTGGCTGTGGGCTGGGACAGGCGCTGGGGTTCTGCTGAAACGGGTACAAAGGGTCGGGGGTCTGCTCGTTGCTGTTTCGTTGCACGATTGATTGTTCTTTTCCTCTCTTGTCCTGCGAAATATTGGCAAAGTCGTCTTGGCATCTCGTCGCTCTCGTCTGGTGTCGATTTTTCTGCTCAATATTGTTTTGTCTGCCCGTGGCATACGGTCATGGTCGACGTCATGGATTCCAAGCACAAGTCGTCGCGCATCAAGGATCTGGTCCAGGTGAGTCTGGCGCTCCCCACAGCAGTCTCAGTGGGGTCTCTCCCTGTCTCTCTCTCTCGCATGGGAAAGAATTTCGTCTGACTCAACCCTAACCCGATCAACCCTAACCTTCCGACCCTAACCCAGGCCGGACACTTCACCCGGAGACGGCCCCGCTCATCCCGGCCCCCATTCGGGTTTCCTCCGCCCACAGGCTGCACATGCTGACCGTGTCTCCTCAGTTCCTCGCTTCGACGCAGGGTGACCTCTCCAACATTACAGCGCCTCCCATGTTCCTCGCACCGACGTCTGTCGTTGAAGTCGGTCGCTGCTGGGCCGAGCATCCAGCCATCTTTGCAGCGCCGGCGCTGGAGCCTGACCCAGCGCGGCGCGCCCTTCTCGTGCTGACGCACATGCTGTCATCGCTGCGCTCGCAGCTCTACATTGACGGATCGCCGACCGTGTCGATCAAGAAGCCCCTCAACGCCTTTCTCGGCGAGCTCTTCCTCGCGTCCTTTGTCGACGCGCCGGCCAAGGCGACGACGACGCTCGTCGCGGAGCAGGTCTCGCACCACCCGCCCATCACAGCCATGCACGTGTCGGACACGGCCAACGGCATCCGCGCCGACGGCTACGCGCGCGTCGAAATGTCCTTCTCCGGCACCGTCGACATCCGCCAGGTCGGCCACGCCGTGCTGCACATTGACCGCTACGCCGAGGACTACCTCATCCCGCTGCCGGCCGTCCAGGTGCGCGGCTTCCTCGGCGGCCGCCTCTACCCGGAGATGACGGGCGTCTACACCATCCCGTCGTCGGGCGCCTACGTGTCGCAGATGCGCTTCTCGGGCGCCGGCCTCTGCTGGGGCGGGCGCAAAAACGGCTTCACGGCCGTCGTCTTCCGCCGCGACGACCCGCGCCGCGCACCCGTCTACAGCCTCGAGGGCGTGTGGTCCGACGCGTGGACGGTGCGCGACGCCCGCGGCGACGTCGTCGACACGTTCCGCCTCGACGAGGCGACCGTCGCGCCGCTCGACATGGCGCCGCTCGACGCGCAGGATCCGTGGGAGTCGAAGCGCGCGTGGCGGGACGTGGCGGCGGGGCTGCGCGCGGGCGACGTGCGCGCGGCCGTCGCCGCCAAGACGGAGCTCGAGAGGGCGCAGCGCGAGATGCGGGCTGCCGAGGCCGACGAGGGCCGCACGTGGACGCCGCTGCTGTTCCGGAGCGCGCCCGGCGCCAAGCACGACGTCTTCCACCGGCTTGCGGAGGGCATGGAGGGGTGGGAGCACCTGTATGACGACAGGACCAAGGGCGTCTGGAGGGTGGACGAGGCTGCGCTCGCGACGCAGAGGCCGTTCAGGGGCGAGCTGACGCCGCTGGGGTAGGGGTCTGTGGGCGTGCTGTGACGAGACGGGACGATGGCGGACGAGCATTTTTGGGTGTGCATTTGGTGTGTAGGCATTGCGAGGCATTGCGAGGCATTGCGAGGCATGGCGAGGCATTGCGAGGCATGGCGAGGCATGGCGAGGCATTGAGCGGGCGTCATCGATTGGCATTCTCTTTTCTCTCTAGACTTGCTTCAAGCATCATGATGAATGAGTACATTGTTCTGCGATCGAGGTGCACATAGTCCTTCACACGGCGATCATGTAGACAGTCGCTCACACTGCAATCATGCAGATTGGCTCTCACACTGCAAGCATGTAAACACTGTTGCCAGCATGGAGCTGAAGCGGGCCCTACAAAGCTCAGGGGTGACAGAACTTGGGGGCACATGTTCCAGGATTTCAGGGCCAATTCGTCAAATTCAGCTGGTACGACTCAGGGGCCCTCAGTCAAGTTCCTTGGGCCTTCAGGGCATCGGCCCCTGTGAGAATCACGAGGAGATGCCACGAGGAGATGCCATGAGGAGATGCCACGAGGAGATGCCAACTTGGGCTCGGGTCAGCACAAGCTGCGAAGAAGCTCATCATGTTACAGGCTTGGTTGAAATAGTAACAAGAAGGAAAAAAAAAAATACCCAGATTGCCTGAGACATGAGCGACGTTGGAAAGCTAGGCGTGCCGAGCATAGGCGTGCCGAGCATCAGGTGTCTTGACCCATCATCCTAGTGACGTCAACCATCATCACCATCGTAGGAAAGGCGCCGTCACCATTTACAGTTGTGACGCGACAGTTTCATGTCTAACAATGATATATGCCAGTCTCACTGTTCTGTCCTCCTCATTCTGCTTCAACTCATCAACATGAAAGTCCCTCTGCCCAGCAACCTCAGAATCGCAAAGCAAGTTGCGTCCCACCCTGCCGCCAAGTCATTCGCCACCAAAGTCCACAAGAAGATGCCCGCAGGAACCCCATCAGAGAGCGCAAAGGCGCAAGCCGATGCGTCGGCGGGTGGCCCCTCATTCGAGTCCATCGGCATCAAGAACACGGACATTGTCCAAAAGTCGGGCGTCTCGCTCGACTCCCACCAAAAGGTCCTCGTCGGCAGCGTTCTCGATGTACGTCACTCCAGCTTGCGAAATGCGGCACCAGTCCATCCCGGCCACGGGTGCGCGATGAAGAAGCAGAAAGAATTGACCAGTGTGCCCCAGCTCTTCACCGGAAACCCAACGCTGAAGCATCTGTCCCTGTGGTC